GATGACTTGCGACTAAGACTGAGAAAACTTCATCTTGACTGTAATCAAATGACGACCCTTCCATCCATGGCCTATGAAGTACTTTCAACCATCTCTGACGTTAACATTGAAAACAACCCCTGGCAGTGTGACTGTAGGATGGTTGACTTCAGGTTGAAGATGACAGGGTTTTATTCTTTTGAAAACCAGATCACTTGTTACCAGTCTGATAGCATCCATGGTCAGAAGCTCATAGATATCAGTCCTGAAGATCTGATCTCATATTGTGTAGAACCAACAATTTCGAGGTTTGAGGTAGGTGACAATATGTCTTAATTTGTATCACGGGGATGCACTGTATTTGGTTTGGAAAGCTTCATGAATCCCCACACCGGACATCACAGTCATTCTCCATCTGGACTGAACGCTATTGTTGAGTCAGTTGGGAGAGTGACTGTTTCTGTGAATGGTTCAGTGTTAGTAAAAGATGCTACAGCAGCAGATGCTGGTCTGCATGTCTGTGTTGCAGCTAATCCTATTGGCTCCACTTTTGCCACCCTGTATATAAATACAGGCAGTGCCAACAACTCTTTTGACCTCCACTTCACGAACCACTGTGGCTGACCGTGACTCTGCTATGACCTCCCCTCCACCTGTTTCTATTGTCACATCACCTTCAGAACAACATGGACCTGTCCCTACTTTCTCCTTACATGAACCTGTCCTCCTTGCCGCTATCTGTGGTTATATGGTCAGTACCCTGCTCATCGGTGGCATCTTTCTTGCCATCTGGTGCAAGAGGAACACCAATACTCCTCCCAGACGCCAAATTGTGGTTTTTGACAACACGACAGGTGTACAGTGATAACTAGTGAGCATTGTGAAACAGAGAAGATGTAGTCCCAGGATCTCTTGTACCCTTAAAACGAAACCTTGCCCTGCGAACTCTAGACCCAGACGCGCATATCGAAGACAAACATTTCTTTAGACATGCGAATAGAAGCATTCTGGCCCACCCAATACATAATTTGTTAAAAATGATGGTAAAAAGGAAGACAGCTTTAGCAGATACAACAAACCCTTTAGACTCTAATACATGTACATTCTGTACGACTCAAACTGAGGGCATTATTCTATCCTATTATTGGATAGAGGTATATATATATATACATATTTACTAGGTCCTTAAAATTTTGCAAGTCTCAAACCTGCAGAACAGACTCCAGACGAACTTCCAATGAGTCTTGTAATTGTGATGTCCATTTGGTAATCTAAGAAATCTATAATATACCATATAAGAACTGTACCAAGCCAAGTCATGATTGTAACTGATCCTAACCTTTTGTGGCCTGCGGTTAGGGAATTCCCCCACTCACATGCTGCCACTCAACTGTACAAACACACAAGCAAACGTGTGCACACACAAAACACATGGAAAACAATATCTGCATGTACATGCAAGGAACAACCAGCCTGAATATCATGCAGTTGTACTAAATACGTGGTCGCCACATTTGATATCCTTAAAAATCCATTTTCTCAAACCAGTAGTCAGCAATAAGGACATGCTCCCTATTGTGACCTTTCCAGCAGTGAATAAACTCCCAAATAGTCCTCCATAACCACAGAAATATCTCAGACTGTCTAGCAGCTTGAACTAATGGTGTCCCTACCATAGTCACTGGTCAAATTGAATGTTTTTTAACAGATTCAAACATTTTCTGCATTGGTTTTCAAAGTAACATTATCAAACCATGCATAATGATCCAGATGATGAATTGTATCTAAATTACATACTGACAGCCAACGACCAGTGTGATTATTACTTTATAACCTTGATTAGGTCAGGCTACATTCTTAATGTACTGTGAGCCGCTATTACATATTGGCTATAAAAGTGTACACACGTGCCTACACACGTCGGTGACGAGACCGACCTTTAAACTTCTGTATTATTGAACAATATCGTCAGGAAAGGAAACGCCTTCCACTGTAACTAGATTCTGAAAATTTTCAAAACTCCCACACTGAAGATAAAAAAGCCAATTAGACAACATAAATGACCAGCCTGAATGTCCCACAATTATTTTCAATTTGATAAATACATGTAGTCAAAACTGTCTTGTGCAGCCTTTATACAATGATTTATTAATTTATTTATTCAAGCTTTGCCACAAGTGGAAGGGAAGGGAGAAACAGGTGGAGACCACCTTTACAGGCTCCCTCCCCAAAGACATAAATGACATTGCAATCAATCATAGTTAAAACTAATTAAACATATTGCACAACATCGTAAGTAGACAATGATAACAATATATATAATTGCACAATTTCATAATAGCTAGATCTCTGCACATGTACATCCGGCCGTGGAAGTGCCCCATGTCATTATAGAAGAAGAAGAACTTTATTGCACAACAGATGTAATGGGTACTTCGAGGTAATAAAAACCATTGTATGGAGTTCAGTATGCGGATACCTAGAACACATGTTCAAAGAATATCATTCATGCTTTTGACATGCACCACTTTGAAAGCATTAAAATATGGCTTTTAGGCTATTTCCGGACCAAAGATGTTCATTTTGTTTCATTTTTGGTTCCTGTGGCCTACTATTAAAACCAAATGACCTGGAATTTGGTATAGGAAATACATGCCCACAGTTTTTTTTACCCTTTTGGTATGTGTCACTTTAAATTTATGTAAAATCGGCCTCTTTGCTATTTTTGCACTAATGCAAAAACCAAATGTCCTGAAATTCAGCATAAGGGTAGCTTGGCACCGAATGCTTAGACTATAGTGTTCACTATTCAGACTTAGCCCTCTAAAATACTTTTGTTTCCTTTAATTTGAGTAAAAACAGCGATTGTAGCTTAAAAGCCCAAACCCCCGACTGACAGTTCTAAATAGAACACTGGTTCTACATCCCCGTAAATAATTTCACCAGGTTGGAAGATACTTAGGGTATGGAAATTTCTTCTTACACAACCAGTAAGGTTCTCACCTGCTTACGTTTCGATGTCTATCAGACACCTTCCTCGGAGCTTCTGACTGGAGTTCTGCAACTCGCCGCTATTTATCGCCAAAGTAGGTGGCGCTTTTTCGGCGAGAATGCAATCCCAAACGTGGCTGAGCTTGTATCAGAAGCTCTGAGAAAGCTGTCTGATAGACATCGAAACGTAAGCAGGTGAGAACCTTACCGGTTGTGTAAGAAGAACATTCTATAGACTGGTTCTACATATGTTCAAACAGCAGAAGGCCTTGGAAGATTCCATTGCTGTATGGGGATGTAGACTATTGGAATACTTCACATTTTGGACATAGGTGATTTAGGAACAATCCATTTTGTGCGGGAGGGGGATCGGTTTATTGGTACGGAGGGTGTGGTGAATCCACTTACTGCATTTGTTCCGGAACAAATGTTGGCCTTTCTAGTTGCGATTGTTTTTCTGTTTGTTTTTTTGGTTTGAAATACATTTCCTTGGATGATCCTGGTTTTATAATTCGTTTCAAGCAAAGACGACAGAAAACCACGAGGGAAACTTTGACGGCAACTGCAAATTTATTCTACAAAATGTTCTTAATACTGTATCATAATACTGTATGATACGCAAGCAAAATAAACTACATAAATAAGCTAGGTTTCAGCACAATTTAATATAATGTTTGTCCTTTAAGGTTTCTAATATCTTTATGCACGTCTTGACAGTTGCAGGTTTGACTTGAGTTACAAGCCTCCTTCTTCGCGGGGTTTTCGGAAACTCATGTAAACTAAAACCTAATTTAGACGTATTACTGCAACCAAAAGCCACACAACGCTTAACCATAACGAAAGATGTACATTACAATGGAAAAATAAGAAATGAAGTAGAAATGTTGCTCGGTGACAGATAACCGTGTTGTGACAGAACTTGTCGTCTGCAAATGTTGTTCTTCCCGTCGCACAGGGGATACCCCGTGTGACGTCACTTCCGGTTTGGCCGCACCGCGGCGAAATCTGATCCGAAAGTGCAGTTTTCGTCATATTTTCGCAAAATAGGTGGCGCTGCATCAACAATGAACTTTATTGGTGTGTTTCCTATGGTTAGCCCCGTATATTAATAAAATGTCGCATTGGCCGTGGCACTGGGGCTTTAAGTACTTCGCGATTACGTCTTTACGAAGGTATGACGGTGGCCAATTTGTGAACGCAATTTCGTAACTAGGAGATGGACAAGCACTTTGACTCTCAAAAATGCCGCGGTAAATGCGTTATTGAATGTTTAACAATTGTCAGTGGAACATGCCCTGGACCGCCCTAGATCGCCACTTTGGGATCTAGGGCGGTCAAATTTTGGGACGAACTCACTGAACCTCAGGGCTGGTGGAAACGTTTTCGTTTTCGTCAATTTTTATCACATAAATTAATAAATATCGGCAGCAAACGCTTGAGTAGGATTTACTAAAATATGAGATTTACTAACTATTCAACTGGCTGTTTATTGCCTGAAGTAACCACTACCACATCAATAATCGGCAGTTGTGGTAGTTGTAAACAAAACACAGCCCTACTACAAAATTCCGCTACTAAAAATCAATCAATCAAATCAAAATTTCTACTGAACTTCTTACACGGTCAATACCATCCGTTCTGCTGAATCCCAGTGAAAGGATTGGCCGTCCTAAAAAGCAAACAGCGGGAACAAAATGTCTTGTGTCTAGTAGGCCTTCAGGCAGAACGCTTTTGATGAACACTGAGGTGAATCGGACCTATGCTGGAAAGAATTTCAGCCAAGAGCTAAGCTTCAGTTCTTTTCTACTTTTCAGAGTGACAGTCCGTCACACCTAGGATACCTAGAATAACGTAAACTTTAAGGTTAACTGTTTCAATGGTGAGTATTTGGTAAACATGCCCCTGGAACGCCTTTTAGCATTCAACTATGCATGCAAGTGTAACGGCAGCTGCACCGGCTGAATCTTAACAACCATTATGACATTTCCCACGGCCATGACGCACTAAGAAGTAGCTACAGACAAGTCTCCGCCTTAGCAAGGACTTGATGTAAGAGTCGTTTACTCGGCAAAAGGACAGGGAAGAGGAACGATGCTGCTTGGTTTCGTTAAATTGCACTATACTCTACATCAGCACGTTATAAAGGCGTGAGTTTGGGCACCAAGATTAGCATGGGGACCGCGCGGGAGACTCGTGTTCGCTGGCTGTGTGCTGTCCTCGTCCTGGTCTGCCTGACACCATCAATAACAGGTGAGTTGTGTGTTTAGATTTCTCAGTTGAAAGTCCTTCAGTTGTATGGACGTCCCCAAAAATCATATAAACTCATTGCGCATTCAAATTACAGTGCTATTTCAGCCCAACCATCTATTTAATACACCTACAACATACAAAATGTAACTACACGTATTTTAGCATGACTAGGTAAGATGCATAATTCTAGCCATCATAGATGCTTCCTCCCTCTCTCTTGCTCTCTCACTCACTCACTCACTCACTCACTCACTCACTCACTCACTCACTCACTCACTCACTCACTCACTCTCTTTCTCAGTGTTTTCGGCCGACCTCGAAGAGCTTGGGGTACTTCATAATTCTTGCCTACTACGAATTTCTAGTCTTATCGAGTAATGATTTTTCTACATTAAGTAATATATAATGCGGCTCGCTTTTGCAGCCAAGCACACTGGATCATGCCTTATCCACGCGTGGTTCTGGACACTCTACGGGTATATCACGACCGTGGCTGAGTTAAATCTACGTTCTTGGGGACGTTCCAGGACCGTGCCTGGCCGCGCACATTTCTGGACACACATGGGCCCTATCCCATTTCGTGTATAAGTAGGCAATCATAAAAGATGTTTGGCTAAAAACGTGGCGCTCTGAAATTGCTAAAGATAGTTTGAGCTAGTGAAATCTCACAAAATCACTCATTTTACGTAAAACGTAAAAGTATGTGAAGACAATGATTTAATCCTATTTAAAGGAAATTTTCTCTTCCATACTATTTTGTATATTTTGAAATGTTTTAAATATTGTTGTAACCCAATACTTTTTTGGAACGCGCCTAGCAACGGTAACGAATACCCTAGCAACCGACGGCCGTTATTGCAACGCTCTGCAAAAAACTGAGAACATTATATCATTACTAGTTCGTTATTTAACATTCTTAAGACTGCCATGGACCGTGAGGAAGGGGGTGCAGACTCAGTCACATTTGGGACCGCTTTCTTTGAGACTTGACTTGACTTAAGTCGGGTGCTACTCCTCCTCTGCCACCCGAACCACAATGGCTGCCCAGGCTGCCCTTTCTTTGAGAAGTAATCTTATTTCATGACAAGTGTATAAATTTAACTCCTGTACGTTTGGGAACACATTGCAGATACTGTCTCCAATAACTGTGCGTTTGGAACCGCGTTGTACATACTCTAACAGTTTAGCACCCTCCCGAGCAGGGTTAGTGGCTCGGCCCGGAGAGGAGAGGACACTTCCGGGCCGAGCCACTAACCCTGCTCGGGAGGGTGCAATTTAGACGTACATGTAAATGTATTGCGTTTGGGTCGCATATAAAGCAGCGGCACCTGTGCTAAGCGTCCTTTGCATATTCTGTAATCAAATTTCCTTAAACAGTATTTTAAGACCGTGTTTTAGTCTACGGCAATGTGAATCTCGTTTACAAATTTTGATAGTCGCAAAATTTGCATATTTTACTTAGAGGGTACGCTTCTTTCTGCCGGATTTTATATGTAAGAAATGGTCCCTAGTGTGAAGTTTGCATATGCCTTTTTGCTGTTTAAAATTTGAAATATTTAGATATGTTTTCTGCCATAAATCTCTTAGAAGTTTATGATATTCTTATTTCTAATCTTCCTTTTCCTTTCTACCCTTTGCTTGTAGTTAGTTTTGAGTTGAATATATGGTTGAATGTACTTTTACTTTTTTGACGATTACATTTTTAGGATTACTTAGTATTTCTTGTAAAAAGGCAGGAAAGTACTGTAGTACATTTTCTCCCTCAGTTTTGTTTTACCTGAACACGCAATATCCATCTAAAATTTCAAAGAAACTCTATCCAGTAGGATGAAATAGTATAACTGAAAGTGATAATTAAAAATAGATATATATATATATATATCTAACCTTAGCCTAATAACTCAGGAAACGCTTCATATGTCTTGCCAGGTGTTGTGGACGTCACCATTGTCAGCAAGTACCAGTTCTTTGCTGAGTCCGCGGACACCTGGCTGTACTGTTACTACACGGGCAGTCTCGTCAACCAGAACGGGTACCGGTTCGGTGTCGAGGTCGACACTGGCTCGGGAACAGCTTTTACACCACAGAGAGCCTCCGGTGCTTTCATAAGAGGCACGAGTTCGAGGATCTTGGATACCGCTGGTGATTTCCGGGTCGGAGCATTTTCCTGTCAAATACGCGACGGAAATCAAACAGGAAAGGCTATCACCTTCAAAATGAAATCGCAGGGTGAGTACACAACATAACATGCTGCTGAGTCTAGGGCTGGGTACCGGTTCAGCTGGACCTGTTTGGTCCTGAACAACATTCAAGAACCGAGTCCAAAAAACCTAAACGCAAAAACCTGATCATCGGACCTGATGTACATTTCTGTTAATTTTAGTACATTTTGGTAGATTGTACAGACATCTTTAGGTAATCTGGTCATGGCAAGTGAAAAAAATAACCATGAATCAAACTAGATTAGCCTAAATCCATGTTTGTCTCTTCTGTAACAGTGGGTTCCATTTTAGGTCGACAAAAAAGTTCACGGACCACGAGGTTTGTGGTAGTACTGAGCGATAGATATCATCAAGGCATACACGTACTCAGTTAAATTGCTCCTACTACTGTACTTCAGTAATCAGGTCCAGGTTCAGGTCCGGACCTGGACCTGATCCTCTGAACCTAATCCGGACCTGGACCTGAATTTTTTTAACCGGTACCCAGCCCTACTGCTGACTATATCTGCATCTATCTTTGGAGTTCACCTATGAGTTAAATAAAAGCTCACAGACGGGAAAAGCCGTATCAATGTTAACTTTGGCCGAAAAGGTTATATTTTTGGTAAATATTTACTTGTGGTTATGTATGTGGTTTAGCACAATAGCTATTGATGGACTGTTGTGAAACTTGATAGGTATAACTAGTTATAATCTTATTTTCAGCCGATGTCTGGCCAGTGGCTTTCACAGTAACCGCCAGCCTAGGAGACCCCGTGACGCTACAGATGGTGCAGAAGTCCAATAGGACCGGTACCCTGGAGTGGAGGAAGGGCGGGGTCGGGGGAACTGTCCTGACTGGACAGAACGGACTCAACCTGACTATCACAAGTGTCCAGTCTTCAGATGAGGGGATCTATGAGTGCTACTATCAGGAGGACACTGATAGAAAACAGGGCATCATGAGGCTCATTGTCAGAGGTAATATAACACGCTTTTGCATGCTCACATGGGTTCTATTCTATTCTATACTATACTGAGCAAGACCCTAGGTAGGGCATCCCGCCCAGTGTGCAAAGCTATTGCGGGCGGTGGGGTGCGGTGAGTAAAAATGTGCTTGGCAACAAAACGGAACAGAACATAAATTTGTGCATTTTGTGCATGGCCGCAACTAGCAATACCCGACTTACATTCTGTGAGACGGGGTGGCCCAGGTGCAGGGCCAACCCCGTCTTGAATGTGTCAACAGATTGTTGTGTTACAAGGTGTTCGGGTAGTGCATTCCATTCTGTGGTGGTTCTGAATATGTTGGTTTTGCAGCTGAGTGTTATGTATCGAAGGGGGTGGCCACTTGTAGTGTTTTTGTTCTTTGTGATGTAGTCTTGTGTAGGTTCAGTCCCATTTGAATAAGTAAAACATAAATCAAATACAAAAAATATTGCCATTGTGTCAATTATTTGTGGACTATATGATCCGTACTGGTTGGCATACATGTGGAAGGATTGGTTAAACTGTTCCCTAATTAAAATTGACACATCGGAATTTATCACGAGTTTGATTCAGCTTTCTGACCGAATGGCTCGTGACACGCATAACGACAGCTAAGGGTCAAAGTTTGCTTAAAATCAATATCGCCCCCCCCCTCCGTATTGGTTGAGAGAGGGTAGGTCACACCTGCATTAAGTCACCTGTCCTGAGTTAGTAGGTCGAAAATGCCTGGCTGTCTTTTTTTTCAGGTTGGAGAGCACTGAAACATTTCGAATTCCACGTGTTATTACCTTCGCCAAGAAGGTTATCATGTTTTCAGAGGCGTTCCAGCTGTGTGTGTGTGTGTCCGTGTCACAGTGTGTCTGTGTGTGTGTCTGTTAACACCATAACTTGAGAAGGCTTAGATGGATTGTCTTCATATTTAGTAGGTGGCATGGGTAGGTCTTGATGAGACCTCGAAATTATTAGATTGTCGGCCACCTAGCGGCTTCTTATAGTACTGCAGTTGGACTTCCGGTTTTGATATCTCATGATCCGGACATGCTAGGGTCACGAAATTTTAGAGGGTTGGTAGCTCTTGTGCTGGGGAGGAAGTTATGTAATTTTGGGCCCCCTAGCGGCTTGCTCTGGAACTGCAGGGGCGTTTACTTTAAAAAAATATTTAAAAGAGGATAACTCAAGAACCAGTTAACGGATTGTCGTGATTTTTGGGTAGGTAGCTGAAGTGATGCTTGACACAATCATGTGATAATTAAATTTCAAAATTTCAAATTTATGCAAATGTATGCAAATTTGGATGTAATTTGCATGATTAATGAGGAAATTCTATAAATCCGCTGCATTACATGATAGGACTATTCAAGCTTGTAACATATGTAATTGAAAACGAGAGAAACCCAGGCAGATATTGATTATGTAAATGAATACCTCATTTGCATAATTAATGAGAAAATGTTATAATTCTATAATGGTAACTGCCTGGAATCTCTTGCTTGGGGTACTTGAAAGTTAAGTGAAGGTGAACATCATTAAACGTAGCTTGTTCAAATAAGGTCCTCATTTGCATAATTTATGAGAAAATGCTAGAATGTCCTTTTTGTTAAGATGAGGCCGTCTTTGGGTCATGTGGCGGAGAATATGGTCAACTGATATACTAGTAATTCATGCAAATAAGTATCCTATTTGCATAATTAAAGGGCCCCGGGATTAATCTATAATTTGACAGTCATAAAAGTTAACATCATTTGGCGAAGAATTTGGAGTGGAACTCTAGTTTACCAACTGTTTGAAGTTACTACTAAACAGAGGTAGCCATACAAGAAGTGTTAACTGATATTTGTAAGTAGCTTAAAAGAGAAGTTACTGTATGCGTGTCTAGAGAAGTTGAAATATTTTGCTACCATATCCTAGGCATTGGTATCTTTTACCAATGCCTATTAGCTTACTCACAAGAAATACACGTAACTTTGTACATCGGTACGTACCAATGATATTGACTCTCATGGGCACGTGCGTTACCCCCTATAATTAAAAATGACAACAGGCCACAGCGGCGCTGTAATATAGCAACTGTGCCAATTTGCTTACTTCAGATTGTGCTGAGAACAAGTGGGGTCCACCCTCCTGTACCGATGACTGTCCCGTGTGCTACAACGGCGGTGTGTGTGACGACAACACGGGGGAATGTGTCTGTCCTCCGGGGTTCCATGGGCACAACTGTGAAAGTGGTAGGTATTGCTTTTGGCATAATCGCTTCTTTATAATTAGTTAATTACATGTACATAAAATCTTTCTTTGACTGGTATGTGTCATTTTTTTAACATACAAATTCCAGCACATAAGCTAAGATGTTGAGATGCCAAAGGGCGATATCAAACATATCATATAATAAATCTACTAACAATGCTCATTTCTATTCTTCAAGCCTGTTCGTATGGCATGATCGGTACAAGCTGCACAAAAGCGTGTGCCAGTGGAGACTGTACGGGTCAGCTGCTGTGTGTGACGGATCCGTATGGCTGCTCCTGTCCGCCTGGACTCATGGGCATAGAGTGTAATACTGGTAAGACTAATGGCACATATTACTGAATATATTTAAACTTCTGCCCGCTTTTAAGCCTCCAAATATTAAAGCGATATTATGTAAGAGTTTCACTATTTTGAACATCGTTGTTTTACACATTTTCTTGCGCTATAGTATAAGC